AGAATTAAAATGGCCACTCCCGCTCCTCAAAAGGCTGAGAGAATGAAAATGGCCAAAGGAACCCTTGCATTACATTTCTGATCTGTTAATAAAGCAGAAATTTAGACTCACACTTGAACTGACACTGTTAAGTCAGACGGCTGGAGTGGCAGCAACGTTCCCTGGCTGTGTGATTGGTCCTTGGCAGAGTCGCACCACGCTTGTAGGTGAAGTCTGAGAAATGATGCCGCCAGCCACTGGGCCTGAACAGTGGGGTCGACCCTACCAATGAGCCAGTATTTTGAGACCTGCTCAATCTGGTGCTAGTTCCTGTCTACTTCAGAGCCACAGAGGAGAGGACAGGAGCTCACAACTATTGTGTCGCTTCAAATCAGAAGGAAACAGACCCTGGATTAGCTGGTCAGGGTGAGGAAGAAGTAATTGGTCTTAGAGCAGGTGATAAAAGAGTGGGACCACTTTGGAAGGTGGGACAGTGGGACAGTCTGTGGTGTTACATCTGCTTTGCTCTATTTCTGAGGGTTTTTTTTTTGCTGTATTCTTTCCTTCAGCCATAATTTTGTGTTAATTCTCGCTGTGTGTATATCAAGTCACCACTTTTTTATGTTCACACCATAGTCCAGTCACCTGAGCTGAGTTCAAATTCCCCATTGCCAGAGACTTCCATCCAGATTTTTTTACCACCTCTAAACTTTAAAACTGGAGCTCTGCTGGCCTAGTGGTAAGAAACTGCACTGCAATCCAAAAAGAACACCATTTAAATCCACCAGTTTTCAACCTCGATGTTAGCTGCACTGTCATTTCCCTTCACCAGGTTTGAAAACTTACCTCCTTCCCCCCCATCACACTCACTCAGCGAAGTCTGGTCGTCTCTGCATTTGGCTCCTTCCTCTCTTTCTCCACTAAATGGCATTTCTTCCTCAAGAGGCAGCCCCAGGCCACCTCCTCCATTAACTCCTTAGCTTTCAGTGATTTTTCAGTCTGTCTTAGATGCCTTCCGTTTAACACTGCTTATTAGATGTTTCTTCCTATTTAGCGCCTACATGATTGCTGTTATTGCTATGTGCCATTGAGTCACCTGTGACTCATTGTGGCCCTGTGTACAATAGCTCTGAACCCACCCTGTCCCGAGCCAGTCTCACTGATACACCCGCCCTCATTATCCCAGTTACTGAGTCAATCTCATCCTACATGATACTCGTCTTTTATTTTCCAAAATGACATGAATTAAGAGATTGCCAATGTGAACACTTTTGTGCTAAAAAAACCCCAGAGGTTATTGATAAAACTATGGTTATAAATATACAGGACTGGTGACAAATAAAGGAGCTAAACAACAAATAAAAAGGAGCTAAAGAACAAACAGGTTCATCCTAGAGAGGGTGAAACCAGGCTGCTCCTTGGAGGCAAGGATTCTGAAGCGCCATTTGGCATACTTTGGGCAGGTTGCAAGGAGGGACCAGTCCTTGGAGAGGGTCATTATGTTTAGGAGGGTGGAGAGACAGAGCAAGAAAGGAAGACCATAAATGAGATGGATTGACTCAGTGACTGGGGTAATGGGGGGGGGGGTTGGTGTGTCAGAGACAATAAGGTTGGCTCAAGATATAGCAGGGTTCAGAACTGTTGCACAAAGGATTGCGATGAGTCACAGGTGACTTCACAGCATGAAACAACAACATGGTGGCACAGTCCACAGGATGTTGCACTATTAACCCAAAGCTGGTACTTCTTTGGCAGTTTGACTTCACCAGCCACTCCACCTAGGGAGAGTGATACGCAGTCTCCTCCTGTGTGATTTTTAGCTCTTCTACAATGCACGCTTTGTTTGCCTAGTGCTAAGAGGCTGAACTGCAAACTCAAAGGCATGCAGTTGGAATCCACCAGCCACTCTGGGCAGTCTCCTCCCATGCAATTGTCTCTGAGAACCCGCCAGAGGGTCAGCTATAAGTTGGTGCCAACTTGATGGCACACAACCACCAAAAAACCCATTCAAGGTTCAGCTTGGAGTTGGTTCTGATTTGATGGAAATGAGTTTAAGGGTTGCTTTTTTAGTGGCAAATGATGTTTATGGATCTTAGTTATAATTATTATTAAAGACATTCATAATGCTGTATGCATTTGGCTTTATGTCAAGATCATAAGGAGGTTTGAAGAACTTTATATTTTTAAGTGCTATCAAATTGTTATACACTAAAAAAAAATTGTTATATACTGTTGAGTTGATTCAAAGCTGACCCTCCATTGTGTTTTCAGAGGCAGTAAATCACACGGTTGGAGACTGCTCATCTTTCTCCTGCAGAGCAGTTAGTGGATTTGAACTGTGTGCCTCTGGGTTGGCAGTACAACTCCTTATTAAGCCACTAGAGCTCCCTATCATCAAATTGCTGTTATTGTTGATTGTCATCAAGTCGAGCATGACTCATAACGACCCTATGAACAAAGGACCTGAAGCCTTTCTATAACGATCCTTTCTTAAAGTTCATAGAGTTTCCAGAGGCATGTTGTTTAGGAAGTGGATGTCACATCAAATTAGGGTCATCTTATTCCCGATTCCGACTACAATCTGTACAGTGGCATCTTCCTAGAGGACTCTAGAATGATTATTCTGTGCCCATCTCTTTCTTCTTGATGGCTCAATTTTGGAATGTGATTTTATGGGAGCCCCACAAGCACATCTCAGAACCTTCTTGATCCAGTGCCCCAGGAATGGCATTTTCTCACACCTCACTTGTTTTCCAGAAGAACGTGATAGCAGCAGACAGAAATGAAGCCCAGGAACAATCTGCCTCTTTCCCTAAATTGGGTCAGCTCTGTGGCTACATCATCAGTTTTGGGTTTTGTGACCTTTGATCAGAACCTGGGTGGAGCTTCCAAGGGTTGGTTGGAAGGGGAGAGTGTGAAGGCCTAAAGGGTGGGAACCACTTCCCAAGAGCTCTACTCTGAGACTCCAGAGAAAAAACAAGCTCTAGCTGGTAGTACAGTCACCATTTACAGCTTTCTTTTTACAGCTGCAATAATATTGCATCAGGTTGCCTGCCTTTGACTTCATTTCACTTTGATAAATAAAAATAAAGCTACTGCAAAAGCCATCAGCGGTGCTGCGTCCTCACTGTGTAGTGCATGTCAGTAAAAGCAAGGCTCTCAAAACCCTCCACATTATAGATTTTATAGAGGCCTTCTGACCAGTTAGAGTAAGTATTACATAGACGCCCGTATGTACTTGCCACACAAAGCCACATGCATTCTTGGATTTTACAAAGTATGCGAAAACAAGGATCTTATTCACCTTTATATAGTCTGTAAAACTGCCCTCCCAGCCGTGTGCTCAGTAATGTGCCAGCTACCCAGCTGAAAATGCCCACAGCCGACGAGAGGCCCAAAGGAATGCAGGATGACACAAAGACATAATTTCAGCCAAGGAATCCCAGGAGTACACAATATAAATGCTTTATTGCTAGCACAAGGGTTTCATTTAAAGTAAATTAAAGGGAATAAATTTTCATTTTCACATTCTATATTGCAATTCAAAGGTAACTAGCTTGTTAGTGGATCTGTTCATTTGGACACAGGCTACAGAGAGCATGACATTCCCACTGAAGCACACTGGTCAAGGCATTGGGCTTCTGGATGCTCTGGTGTGTGTAAGTAACACTGAATCAAGATTTCTTTAAAACATCGTGAACTGACAAGGATTATAAATAGAAAACAGTATGGTTAGCAGGATATATATATATAACCCCCATATTCCACATACTCAAGGTTATGGTTGGTACTTTCACATAGATGATCTTCGTCTAGGTTAGAGAGTGAATTGGATTTTGCAGCTGGAAAGAAGGAAGGACAGGAAGCTAACACTGCCCACATCAACCGGTGGACTAATTTGGAAGCAGAAGAGTGTATGAGAAGGGGGGGCGCAGCTTCCCAGCTTCCTGTCCCTCCACTCTGTAGGCTGATGCTCCCGTGCTGAGAGAGGGGCTCAATGAGCCAGCAGGTTTGGTAAAGCAGCCTGGGCACGTGGCAATCTTGGCACATGGGAATTCTGCAAAAGGAAACTGAAGCCCCCAGGAGGGCCTCATTTTCCAAGGTCACTGGCAATGGATTGAAGCCTTTGAGACCCAGAAAGGGTCAGAGTAACATCTGAGATATTGGGAGTAGCAGGTGTTAGTGGTGGAAGATGAGTTAAAAAGAAGGTGTCAATTCCAAGTGCAGAAATAAGGCATTTAACTAGAATCATCAGTCATTAGTAGAAAGTGAATTATGCCTTCAAAGTATCTTTCCCCTTAATTTCTCAAGTCCACTCAGATTTTTTTAATTGGTTTTAAAGGTGAGTTTTTTAAAAGATCACATCTTATTGTGAAAAACCACCCACGTTTCATGTTAATCCAGGATAACCAAGAGAAGGGAGTAAATACGCACAGCCCCCTGCAGGAAGCTGAGAAGCTGTGAACTACACTTGCTACCCTCCAGGACTCCATATTCCTGATTTTCTTTCAGTCAGGTTATTTATGGGTACCAGGAAACCAGACTAGGTTCGAAATAACCCCAGTTCTTATTTCTCAGTCCATCTGCTGCAGTGTACCAGCTCCTGGCATTTTCAGTCTGGTCTGGCTCTAACTAAAACCATTTCATGTTTTGCTTTGAAGAAATGGATAACATGAAACGGTAATTTGGCTGCAAAACCTTGGAAAATTGTTCCCGGCCCAAACATCTGCCCCAAATGAGCTCAACTGAGATCTCCCTGGAGGAGCGGGCTGAGTAGGTGAATGGGGGGAGCCTGCGAAGGGGAACTGGAAAGGCCACCTTTTCTCAAGAGGGATGTTCTTTGCAACAAAGGGCATCAAATAATGCAGCTCTCAAATTCAGCCCCTCACTGCAGAGACATGGTGGAGGCGCCTGACAGTTAAGTGCTCCCCTTGCTCCAGTATTCAGTGTCATTTAGGTGATCCCTCACAGTGCCAAGAAGCCATACCCAGCTGGTCTGTTTAGTTATGCTGTGACCTGCCTGGCTTGCATGTTATCATTTAAACCTTTAAGTAAAGACTGGATATCAACTTTAGATTCCTGAGAGCTCAGCCCCACAGGAAAAGGAGACTGGAGAGCTGTGCAGGCTGGCCTTCTCCTTGCTTCTTGGCCTCCTTACGAGTTCTTCTGCGGGATCTTTACTGTCACAGTCTTCACTTCCGAGTACTCTCGCAAACCAAATTCTCCCCTGAAAAACAGAAATGTGAAGTATCAGCTATCAGAGGCCAGGCAACCCAATCTGTAGGACAGTAAGAGTCCTGGATAGGTGAAATTTATCACCTGCTAACAGCAAGTCCCGGGTTTTTATGGAAACATTCCTAATGGACTGAAAGTCCAGCTGAGGGGCAGGGAAAGCTATTATCTCAGGAGCAGTCACTGTTTCCTAACAGTAAAGGATGGCCCCTCTTCACTATAGTCACAGCAAGGCCAGATACCAGAAGCTCTCAGAGAACCCAGCCCGGGGTGGCCTTGGTCACAGGCTATACAGCCGCTCAGGCCTCCTCCTGTGCTAAGTCCCCGTGCTTACAGCAATGACAACTGTGCCCCCATGTGGAAGCCATGACCCCACCCCCCTTCCCTGGCAGCACCCCCTCATCCACAACACCACTGTTCCTGGGACTAGAGACCCTACCCTCTAACCACTTCCCTGCAGATTAGATCTACTTCATTTAAAAGAGCACAATGAGATTCCCAGGCTAGGATCCTCTTGGTTTGATATCCTAAATCCCCTTATATTCTCTCTTAGATTTAAGAGTCAAGAATGAAGATCTAAAAGCCCCTCAGAGAGGAACTTGAAGCATCTGTAAGACTTTAAAAACAAGATCCTGAATAAATACTGTCTGCAACCCCCATGTCATCACATAAGGAGTTAAGTGGACATAACAGAATTTTTAAAAAATGTCAAGGTTAGTAAGTATTCCCATCTCACCGAAGATCCTCTCTTGACCCCTTCCCCTCTTGGCCCGAAGAGCCTCTGGAAACATGGTCATGGATCAAGGATCATCATCCACATGGTGAACAAGCACTTAGTGAGCTTTATTTATTCCTACAGACAGCTCTGTGCTGAGCTGAGGGGATGCAAAAGTTAAGTAAAATGTCCTTGCTCCTGAGGCCCCCAGGGTCTGGGGAGAGGACAGGAGACTCAGCCCTTGCAGCCGGTTGAGGGCTCTCTGGAGGCATTCTCATTGCCCAGGGATCACTGGAGTGCACTAAAGCCTGCTGTTTCAGGGCTCCGATCTGATCCTTCTCCCTCTTCTCTCCCTGTTCACTTTCCTTTCATTTGAATTGCCTCTTCCCTACTCATAAAGTTAAGCATATGCTCCTATTTTTTTTCTTCAGAATAATTTAACCTTATATTTCTCTTTTTTCTTTTTCTCTTAATTTATTCTTATTCAGAACCAATCTGAAAAGCTTTGTAAGTGGAAGGTACACACTAGCATTGTCTCCTAGACTCTCAGTGCTATAACTCATTAACTTCTTCCTGTCTGCATCATTAGGACAACAGTTTTCCCCCTTGGAACATCCTCATTACCCATAGGTAAGACTAGTTTAAGAAAATAGCACTTTATTGCTTTTGCAGAGTTGATACTTAGATGAGTACACTGAGGTACGTTTGGTTGTGGTTTGGGGGTTTTGTTTTGTTTTTTTAAGGCCATCTCGTTTGGGAAGCTTTCCCTGACTCACTCATGCTGGGCCCCTTCCTCCTCTTCTGCATCCAAAGAGCACCTGGTACAGACCTCTATTGCAGCCCTGCCCCACTGGATAGGAACTATCTGAGCATCTGTGTCTCCCATGGAAAATGTATCTTAATTCCTCAGAACCACCAACCACTTGAGAAAAAAAGGGCATCACTTGCCCAAGGACAAAGTTTAGAAGGCAGGAAGATTTAGGGAAGGAGGAAGGAAAGGGGAAACACAAGGAGGAAGTAGGATGAGGGCTGTGACATTATGGGGATCACAATCAATGCCATGAAACAAAGGGCTCTAAATGCCGAGATGCTGATCCTGCTCCACGAACCATCACCCAATTCTCAATGCAAAATTAAAAGAACATATATCTTAATGATTTTGGTTTTCCTGTTCACTGACCAGAATCAACCCATGACATCAGGCACAAAGTAAACCCTCAATGATTAATAAATGAAAGAACGTCATCTTCCTGACCTTCCTCTCCCAGCTCTATGCTGCTGTCCTTCCCTCTCCACCAAAAACACACAACAAAACAAACAAAAAGACTTAAAGACGCATTTGAAAGTGAAAGCACTAAGAGATACTGCCTTTTAAAAACAGCCAGGCATAAAAGTTAAAGAGTTATTATTTCTTGACTTTACCACTCAGATCTACGTTAAAAGACTCCTAGCTCCTGCTGGGGATCCCAGGGCCCCACACGTGGCTCCAGGGGCTCTGACTACAGCGTCTCTGCTCTGAGCACCAAGGGCACCTGAGTTGACAAAGCCTCACTGGGACACTGGCACCAGCTAAGGTCTGTATTGGTCTTCCTTCTTACAGAACTAAGAATAATAAACTTGGGATTGCCCCACTCATTATATGTTCCCTCATTAGCTCCATGCAGCTCTGAGGCTCTATTACCAGCTCAGCTCTGGCGCTCTCTGGACTTTTTCCTGCCCTTAGGCAGTTCTGAATGTGTCTCTTCATCATGGACATCATGTGCCTCCCGTTTGAAGTGAGGTTACTCCCTTCATGTTTCCTGGCTTGTGCATGCACTTGAGACAGACCCCGAACCACACTTTTCCTCCCACTCAGAGCTCTAACCAGGCTCTGGGGAAAGTGAGGAGGGCTACAGGAGCAAAAACCTTGCGGTATGGCTGTTTTGTAGTTTAAATGTTAGACTTCATCACTCTTGGGAGGAAAATCCTGCTGGTGGGCTCCTCTCTACAGTCCAGGCAGTAATCTACTGCTGTGGTCTATGCACAGCTTGCTCTGAGACAGATGATGTTATTGTTGTTAGGTGCAGTCAACTAGAGAGTACAGTGACCCTGTGAACAAGTGATCTAAACCCTTCCCTATCCTGTGCCATCCTCACCACCTCTGACACACTTAAGCCCATTGCTGATGTCACTGTGCCAATCCATCTCGTTGGAGGTCTTTCTCTCCTTCACTGATCCTCCATTTTTCCAAGCATGATGTCCCTTTCCAAGGAATATTCTCACCTAGCTACATGCCTAAAGTATGAAAGATGAAGCTTCGCCATCCTTGCCTCCAAGGAGCACTATGGCTGTACCTTCTTCAAGACATAACTGTTTATTCTTTTGGCAGTCCACGGGATATTCAGTACTGTTTTCCAGCAGCACACCTCAAAGGCATCAATTCTTCTTTTGTAATCCTTATTCACTGTCCAGCTCTCTGATGCATGCTACATGATTGAGAAGACCATGCCTGAATCAAGAGCACCTTAGTCTTTAAACTGACATCACTGCTCTTCACCATTTGTGAGAGGTATCTGACAGAAGGCTTTCCCAGTGCAAAACATCTCCTTATTTCTTGAATGCTGGTACCAAGGATGTTGACTGTTGGTCCAAGGACAGATGAGTGGAACCAAATCTACCCTAACAGCAAGTTCTGCCCCTAGGCCAGGAGAAAGAACACTGGCACCGGCGTCAGTAGGCCTCAGCACCGATTATGCCCTGCCACACTCTGGCACAGACTCTGGTTAGATCACCATTATGTTCAGGGTGCCCAGATCACTGCTCTAGAACCTCGGGGGTGGGGGTGGGGGAGTGGACAGGGAGAAGAGTGGCACAGAGGATTGTAGCGCCTGAGCCACTCTCAGCCAATCCTATCAGGAATTACTCAGACTCATCCATGAGTATCTCTGCTGGTTTCCAACAGCACTACTCAGAGCAAGGTCCCAGACCACTGGCTTTAAAATCATTCCAGAGGCATGAATGTGAGCAATGATGTCTGGAACCCCAGCTCAAGCTCCAAGCCAAACCCACTGCCATCAAGTCAAATCTGATCCTAACGGAACATTTCCTAGATGGTCTTTGTGGAAGCACATCTTCCTCCTGAAGAACAGCTGATGGTTAACAGCTGAGTACTTTATAGGCACTTCACCAGGGCTCCATAGCCCCTGCTTCTGATACACTAAATCAGGATCTTGGATAGGGGTCCCCAGATAGACACATTTAATAAGCCTCTTCTCAGCAGGCTGCTGGTGATTTCTATACATATACAAACATATGCCATACACACAACCTTGAGAACCTCTGGTTGAAAATATCCCAATAATTAATGCTTCCCATGTTCAAAGTTTGTTCCCTTAATTTTAAAAATGCTGCGATTCACAGCTCCTTTTCCACCCCTTCAGTTTGTGACACATATTTTACAGCTCTTGCTTTACCATCCCTTGTCTTTAGGGTAGCATAACTGAGGAAGGAAAAGAATAAGAAAAGTGGAACAGATGGGATTAGCTTCACAAGCTGAACAGAGAGAAACTCAGCTCTATTATCTGACCTCGGAATGAGAGGCCAGCCGTCAGCTGACCTGTAGAGGGCAGTCCTCACCATAGCAATCTGTGGGGAGACCTCAGGGTCTCCACCAACCCTCTTTCCCTTGAGGCTGGCTTCCAGAATGTGCTATGTCTTTCTTCTCTTCTTAGAGCTGTGCTGGGAGGCACGGGAGGAGTGCTGCACAGAGTTTGCAGATGGTTGGATAAACCATTCCATCACGGGGGTGGGGGAGTGGGGTCAGGTGCTGTTTCAGAGACTGTCTTAAATCTGGGACAGAGCATGATCTTTTACTGGAGGTATCTCTTACCACTCTGTTGGTTACTGAAGGGTGCAACAAAGGACAAAGAACCATCTAATTTAGACAAGATGAAGGCAGTCTCGTCAAAGAGCCACCATTTCTCAACTACTTTTCAACTGCACTGGAAAAGCTGGGTCACCACGGTACCTCCAAGATAAGTAGAGAGAGGCTATCTTTCATCTCTCGGGCCCCTGTTGAGTGTGGTTCTGACAGAGCCAAACTGTCTCCTGTTCTTTATTTCTAGACAAACGGAACATTTCCAAGTGGATTGTACTGGATCTGGATAATGTAACAGCCTGAATCCTGGTGTGAGACCTGCTCAGGTTGAAGGCCTAGGCTGAGCCTAGGATTAGATACCATCAGCCAATGACTATCTAAAATACACCTTATGCTCAGGATCCACCTGGTAATAACCTGTAACCATAGAATAAATGCAAGTGGCATTCCCATCACCAGGGACTGCACAAACATTTCAGAGCCCAGGAAAGCGTAGACACAGGGGCAGGAAATGGAATAACATCTTTAAAAAAGTAGCAGCAACCTAAATACATGAAGAGCTTGTAAAAGTTGAAGGAATACTAATAACGGAGCAAATAGGATCCAGACTGGTTATGGGGTACAGCTGCAAAGCAAAGAGGTGGCCCTGGGGCCAGAAAAAAAAGGGGGGGGAAGGTTCCAGAAAGAATACTTTTTCTCTGGTATTTCCAGAGGCAGAATATAAATTGGAGACACTGGCTGAAATGAAAGAAGAATGCTGCTACACTCTCAAAAAGGTTTATTAAGGAAAGAAAGCAAAGTCAACTACATTATACTCATGTACTTGGTCAACAATGAAAACAGCACCTACTATTTTCTGAGAATTTACATACTCTGTTAGAGGTTTTACAGATGTAATTCTAATATTTAATCCCTTGGCAGCCCTATGATGTGAACTATAATTACTCTCACTTCACACATGAGGAAATTGAGGCTTAGTGAGATGAGGTCATTTGTTAAAGGATAATACACAAACAGTAAGCTGTAAGGCAAGAATCAAGCAGTGCGATTTTAGACACTCAGTTAATGACCTCAAAGTTATACTTATTTTATAACTGAATGATTAAGGGCTAGAAATTACCACCTAAAGTACCTGAGGCATGTTCATGTTCTGCTCCAGTCTTACGGGTTCACTGCACTTGCCTCTAAAACATCGTATTTATTTCTTCAATGATGTCCCTGTTTACTGTTCTCCCAGAGCCACACTACGCTTTGCTCACCAACCCCAAGAAGCTATAGTCTCTTTTTTTCATCTGCCCAAATGTTTGTTTCCTTTAAAGGCCAATTCAAAGCCTTGTATTAACCCAGAAGGCACCCTTGTCGTGCAAGCAGTTGAGCATACAGCTGCTAAGTAAATGGTTGGTGGTTTAGACCCATGCAGTCCCTCCACAGGAGAAAGGCCTGCTTATCTGTTCTGTGAAATCCCTGTGAGACTGTCCTGCTCTGTTAGGCCAGTTTCTATGAGACAGAATTGAGGAGGTTTCCTAGATTCTCCACACGACACTGGTCTGCTAGAGATTTTTCTAATATTTCATTCATCCAACAATATCTTACATGGACCAAGCACAGAGATTTAGACATTATCACTAGCTGCTGTTACTGTGAGATGCCATCCAGCTGAGTATGACTCAGGCCACCCTCTGAACAACAGATCTGAACTCTGTCCGATCCTTTGCCATCCTCATCATTTCTGACACGCTCGAGCCCATCACTGCGTCAATCCCTCTCATTAAGAATCTTCCTTTCTTTTGCTGACCCTCCACCTTTCCATGCATGATGTTCCTCTCTAAGGGAGAGCTTATCCTATCAACATGCCCAAAGTGTATGAGACAAAGCTTCGTCATCTTTATCTCCAAAGAGCACTTGGGCTGCACTTTCTCTAAGATGTATCTGTTTGTTCTTTGGTAGTCCATGGGAGGTACGAGTTGTAAACTAAGTGTTTGTTGAAAAGGGGCTGGGGTTAGGGAGATGCGTTCAATAATGGCAGAGAGGATGGACATGGTACATTTCTTCCTCTTTTGAATCAGAGGATTTAGGAAATATGGATGTAGTTCCTTTCAAAATAAGGTGATTGTTTTCGAATGATGGTATCAGCATAGAAGATCCTGACTACCATTCATCCTCTGATACTAATAATATATCATTTCTTCGTGAACCCCTCCCACTTTAGCTGATTTTCTTCTACCTCAGTCCCATTTTTCAGGTCCTCATCATCTCAAGGGGGCTTTATCCAGCCCTAATCCTGTTCCTGAAGAATCCGTGTGCCTTACATCCAGGTTACCTTAGCTGATTATCATGTAGGTTCAATGCCTGGGATTTGACGACTGAGACCTCATTTTCGCCACTTCTTGGCTATAAGCCTGGGCAAGCTACTAACCACTCTAACTTTTATTTGCTCATCTGAGCAATCCATTATATAAAGATAAATCTATTTATCCTCTGAAATTATTGTCAAAATCAAATGAAGCAAGGTTACAAAATAATATAACACCACAAAGCAGGCACATAGATAGCAAGCATTCAGTTAATGGTAACATTACTTCAGTACAGATTTCATGCCAACATAAGGAAAACACAAATTCCCACAATTGGATCAATATACAACATAATGATAAATGGAGATTGATTGAAGTTGTTAAGGGTTTCATTTTACTTGGATCCACAACTATGAAAGCAGCAGTCAAGAAATCAAACAATGAATTTCAATGGGCTAATCTACTGCCAAGGACCCCCTTAAAGTGTTATGAAGACATGTTAAAGAGTAAGCTGTTCCTCACCCAAGGTTATTTTCAATTGCATGTGAAAACTGGACAGTGAATAAGGAAGGCGGAAGTATAACTGAGACTTTTTATTTATAGAGTTGGAGAAGAAGAATGAATACACCATGAACTGCCAAAAGAACAGACCAATCTGTACTAGAAGAAGTGTAGCCAAAATGCTCTTTAGAAGCAAGGCTGGTGAGATTTCATTTCAGAGAGTTTGACCATGGTATCAGGAAGAACCCGTCTTTGGGAGTGTATCATGTCTGGAAAAGCAGAGGGTCAGCAAAGCAGAGACGGCCGACCCTCACTGAGATACAATGACTGCAAAGCCTTCAGCACAGCAAAGACTGTGGGATGGTGCGGGATCAGGCAGGATTTCATTCTGTTGTGCGATCTGGATCATCTAACAATAACATTACTGTTCTTCCAAAATCACTCTAAATCATTCTAGTGAATGTCTTTCCTATAGTGACAATCAACACATTCTCTATCAGCCACAATTCATGGCTCTGCAATCTTTGATAGCTCCTCGGTGGCTACATCTTCTCTTCAAAGCTTTGAGTGTTTTTATTTGACTCAGTCTTCTCATTTGAAACTTCATCAAGTCTCCCTCATTTATCCTATGTCATAGGCTGAATGGACTAATTTCTGGACTGTGCAAGATAGAAATTAGTGAATTTGTTGGGGGAAAATAAATGACAACTAACACTAAGCTCCTGGAAGTGATAGGAATTATGACCATAGTTAGTGCAGACCTCAGGGTTTCAGCAATTTTGCTATGAAGGAATGAATATTAAAAAAAAAAACACCTAAAAAAGAAGAAAAAAAAGAAACACTCCTGCACTATGGACCTTTATTTTAGATACACTGAATGCCATTCTAGGTCTTCACTACTCTGTGTTGGCTATGCCTCCAGGCCCTTACTTCTGCTATTCCCTCAGTCTGGAATATCTGATTCTTCAATACTGAAATAGTATTTCTTCCGTGAAATCTTCTCTAAACTCTGTGCATCTGACCACCTCCATAAGAGTTTAATATACTTCCACAGTAGTTCTTTATTATTTGTAATTGGTGGTTCATTTATTTTTCTTAAGTTCCACTTAGCATAAAAAGGATTATTTCTTAGTCATCTCTGTAACAACTACATGTTTGTAGTGTAGTGTGTAGGGTATGGTAGTGTGTGCTTGGTAAGTGTTTATTTAATAAATTAGTAAAACTGAGAGAACTAAACTATTTGTAAGTATTCTCTGTGCTGATAATTATGAGTTGGCAAGTCTGGGCACTTACATTTCTCTCCCATTTCCAGACATCTTGAATCCTCCAAAGGGGCTCTGGGCATTTAAAGCATTGTAACAATTGATCCTGAAAGAAGACAGTACCGTGAGTTACTGTAAATTCTGCCAAAACAGAAACAATCTCTCTGATGTGATATTCTAATTCCTTTTGACACATGGACATTTCATAATTTAAATTTTACTGACATCCCCAGTAAGGAATATATCCCTTTTTTTGGAGTGAATTCTGGTTGCCTTTGTTAATTCCATCTTTCTAGAGACTATCTGTTTACTTCACCTGTGCTCTGGAGAATTACAAGGAGCCCGGGAGGCATAGTGTGTTGCATGTTGGGCTGGCTGCTAAGCCAAGGGATGGCAGTTTGAGTCTACCTGTGGTTCTACAAACTAAAGATGGGCAGGTTTCTTCCATAAAGATTTACACCCTCAGCAACCAGTGAGGGTCATGGTGAGTTATATTGCACATGACAGGAACAGTGGCTTTTTTCATTTGTTTGTTTTGGATATAACACCAGTGTAATGTGTCTTGGCCAGACAAGACTGACTCTGAGCTTACCAAACGGTTCCAGCTTGCATGGCAGATGACACTGTGAGAGCCTTGTTGATGTCATTGGTGAAGACAGCTGCTACAAGTCCGAAGTCTGAGTTATTGGCTCTTTCAATAACTTCATCCATAGTCTTAAATCTCAGAATTTCCTGAACAGGGCCAAAGATCTGTAAGAACACAATTTAATTGTTTCACTACTCCTTTATCTGCTTCCCACATTTCAAAACAAGTTTACTTTGCCTTGGTTATTTAAATAACTTTTCATTTTAAACAGCACAAAGTCATAAAATATCCCCAAATTTCACATTATGTAAGAGTCTGTTTAACACTTTCACTCCACAGGCCCCCTGGTATCACTTGATTCCACTGTGTATATGGAAGAGTGTTCTATAGGTAGAGAAGAAAAAGAGGTAGTGTCCTTAATTCTTAAGCACTGTTCCAGGGAAGAGAACAAAGAGCTGGAAGGCCCACTCCAGGTCAATCTCTTGTGTTAACATGAGAGCTCTTTCTCCTTATTGGTTAACAGTCCAGGGACCTGCATGTGGGAGAAACTAGGGACAGTGTCTTAGACTAATGACTTGGCTATATTACTACTGTTCTGTTGTTAATAAAGATTGCAGTCTAATAGCATGTCACCTGGTCTCCATCTAGCTTGTTTACTTTTTTGCTAAACCTCTTTCTTCAAACTTGGATTTTCAAAGCCATGCATATTCTATTAGTGTATCTGAAATGTGAAGGGCTAAACTCTAATATAATCTACTAGAAAAGCTTTGGAAATCATCCCCAGAAAGATTTTGCTTTTTGTAAGAACACTATATTTGATACCTCTTCTTTGGCAATCCGCATGTCATCGGTGACATTGGAAAACACTGTGGGCTCGATGAAAAAACCCTTCCGGCCTAACCCTTTGCCTCCACATTCCAACTTGGCGCCTTCAGCTACACCACTCTGGATGAGTTCCAGGATCTTGTTGTACTGCTTCTTATCAATCTACAGAAGAAATACCTAGTGACTCCAAGTAAGATCTATGAAAACAGAAGTAAGCATGCTTTCAAGAATCTCTCACTTGAGATTTTTTTCCCCAAAGATTCATTATACCTGGTGAAAGCATATAAAGTTGTTATTATTTAATAACCATTTGACCCACAATAATGGCAACTGTCTATTGTTCAATTTAATATATGGGAGATTCCAAGAAATACATTATTTTAATGATACTGTTGAATCAGATAAATCAGATGTTACCAGTTAAAGAGTAGGGAACTTCTAAATGATAACAACAATGACAAATTGATTATATACTGCTTTTATGGTGGGAGGCAGGGAAGAGGGACACTGTACGTGTTGTCCGGTCATTATTGTATGGGTTATTATTGGGGAGTTCTGATGGCCTAGTAGTAAGGGGTTGTGCTGCCAACCGAAAGCACACAGTTCTAATCTACCAACTTCTCTGAGGGAGAAAGATGGGCAGTCTGTTCTGGTGTGATTTACTGCCTCTGAAAATATGTTTAAAAAGTCAGCTATGACCCAATGGTACATTGACAACTGATCATTATTAAAAAGATAAAAACAATAAGGGGCTAACAAACCCCCTCTTCTGAAGGTATAGTACATCAAAGCCTGGGGGGGGGTAGACTTCTAAAGGAACTTCAGTGATATTTTAAGAGGGAAGGATTAAGCGTAAAGAGTGAGGGGAGACTTCCTAGTCCACCAAATATGGCCAGTATTGTACTCTTCTTCCAAAGCAATAGTTATTACTCAATTACGATAAATAACAAAACCTTCCATTCACCTAAGTTTGACTTGCTCCACTAGGACAACAATTTCTCTCAAGAACATAAAATTAAGGGAATGTCCCTTACTAGGAAAATTCAAGCTCTAGGACTTAAATGGGTGCTGGCCCAAATAGTCTCTTAAACGTTCTTAGACTATATCGATATTTTAAAGCCAGAATTCCATCTGGGAATATGACTTAATGATTATGGATAACGTGCAAAATTAAAAAGTGACTCTGAAGAAGGGATTTTTGTGTTCCTCTCGACCCTGCACCATGTGTCAAGGAGTCAGAGACAGAGCTAAGAGAGAGGGGAAAGTGAAGAACCACTTATTTCCTACACATGTATAAGTTACACATAATGTATCCAGACTAGATTAAGTCAGTAGAAACAAACCTTGTCAGCCTGAACAAAGAGATACTTACCTTGCTTCTCTTAAAGTTTAGTTATTAGAAGACTGTATTCTAGAGACATGCTTCATCTTATCCCGCCCAAGTTTTTCTTTCAGCCAAGCATCTCCAACTTAGTTCCGAAATTCAAAATATCTTTAAAGTAACTCTAGATTTTTTTTTTAAATTTTGAAAGATAAGAATGAAAAAAAAAAAACCCAACCCATACACCTCCTCATTTCCGGTCTTCAGTATGTAGATAAGGTAGAAGGTAAAGATGACTGAGAAAAAAAGTACAGTGCTCTTACTGGGTCTCATTAATGTCCAGTTTTTTTGCTTAGCTAGAGCTTGGTAAAGAAAGAATACGTTTGTGATTTTTCTACCTGAGGTCCTTGCTCAGTGGTGGGGTCAAAGGGACTCCCCACAATGCGCCTCTTGGCTCGCTCCACGCTTCTTCTCACAAACTCCTCATAGATGGACTCCTCCACAAAGATGCGTGACCCTGCCGTGCAGCACTGGCCTTGGTTGAAGAACACACCTTGGTGTGCCTGCTCCACAGCATAGTCCACTATAAGAAGAGACAGCCGAGTTATCCACGCTGCTGCACCCATAAGGGCCTGCCACAGAGCCCCCTCCATCCCTCTCAAATGTGACTCACCATACAGCACAGTGGAAAGTAAAACCAAAAAACTAGCTGTCAGTCAGTTAACTCTGACAGCAAAGAGTACTGGACTGAAAATACAACTTAGTTTTCATCTTAACTAGACCTTGACATTATTTACTACGAGAATTTAGAGAATTTCATGTATTTGAGTCTCTTTCCTCTTCTGCAAAAATGAGAGATTAGATTAGATAATCTGTCGAAGGAGTTTCAAATTTCAATGTGCAAAAGAAAAAGGCTGTTAATATAAATTTTAAGTAGTAAAACATCAGGAGAGAGGCTAAGAAAGGGAGCCAGGTACAGCTGCCATGTGTGAGTGCATGCCCAGAGTTGCCAAATCTTTCAGTTTTTAAGAAAAAACTGTAATTATTATTTTTAATATGGATATGTACATACAAAGACAAAAAGCTGAAACTGAACTCTACAAAGTACAAGCTGGGACTGAAATTCAGATACTCTGACTTTTGTTTACTGATTTCAAGGTGATAAAACTGGGAAAGTAGCTTTCCTTGACACTATGCGAGGAGGAAAAAGGCTGAATGAAGGCAATTTTGGAAACCCACACACAAACAGGACAAACGGGGTGGAATCCTCCCTGAGGATGTGGCATTAACTAGGTGGCTGCTCTAATCCTCCCTAAATACCTGCTGCTGAGGTGGCATCACCTACAACGGTCTATACAGGACTGGCTCGAGGAGTCTGTCATCCTAACTGGAAGTCAAGGGGAGCATCGTAAGACTCTACACACTCTTCATTCAGTTGTTAATGAAAAATTGTTCTTTTCTCTCATACAAAAACTATCTTCTCCTTAGAAGCAATGGGAGTCCACTGAATTGGGACTCAATTATTCCTGCATATCTTTAGCACCAAAGACCATTTTCTGAGTGCCTTTTCCATGAGGGAGATAGAAAAGAAATTACTCATGACCAGTTGAGTGAGGACCTGACCGGGATCTCTGGTGGACTTACAATCAGCATCTGCAAAAATAATATTGGGACTTTTCCCTCCCAGTTCCAGAGTTACTCTCTTCAGATTACTTCTCCCAGCTGCTTCTTGGATAAGCTTTCCAATCTGGAAGAGAAAACGGAGAGAAGTCTCACATTTCTTATGGTTCAGACAGTTAGTGGCCACAGCTGGCTCTCAGCACTACAGGCATGCACAGAAATGGGTTCTACGAGGTGAGTCCCAGCACTAACAATAGAGGCAGTGCCTCCTGGTCAACCAGACTGCACAAGCTAGAAGCCTATTTTGAGCAATTTTATTTTCTTGCCAAAGTGACTTGAAACACCGCTTTACTTTAATGAAAGATAAAGCAAGGAGAAATAGGTTAAACTAGAATTGTTATCAGTGAAAGATTTCTCTAAAGACAACTGGCAAACAAAACACAATAGAGATTTTTCACGACTGCATTGTAGCCTAGCCTCCAGGAAAAGTCAAAATGGCTCAATAGTGGGAAAACAAACTGTTGAACAACAACTCAGAAGGCCAAGGATGAATGGGATTTATCATATGGTTTCACTATTACACCTTTGCCTCTGCCTAGGGTTCCAGTAAAGGATTCCAAGCAGTTAAAGACCTGAGTTTACTGGAATATTATTGCAAATGTCTATTCACCTAGAATCCAAACAAACAATAGGATGCTTGAGAAAAGCATTTGTCATGGAGCAGACTCACATTTTCAATGAAGTACAAACTGTTAAAAGGAAAACAGAGATGCATCACCTAGATTCCTTGAGAAGGTGAAGGTCACTGCTCCAATTAGAACAGTCTAGCTAGTTATCAAGGAACTGAAGATCAAATTCAAACCTCGAGTTGCTATAATCAAGATGCTTTAGGCAGAATATGAAATGATCCAGGAAGTATTAAAAGAAGATGGAAAGACTATACTAAGTCACTGTATCAAAAGGAATTGGCAGACACAGAAGAATTTAATGAAATAACATATGAGCAAGAGCCTATGGTGGTGAAGGAAGAAGTTCAACCTGATTTGAAGGAAATAGCAAAACATAAGGCCCTAGGAAAAGAAGGTATACCAATTGACGTATTTCAGCTAGTGGATGCTGCCCTGGATGTGCTCACCAGGTTGTGCCAAGAAATCTGGAGAACAACCACTTGGCCAACTGACTGGAAGAGATTTATATTTGTTTCCATTCCAAAGAAGGGTGACCCAACAGAGTGTGGAAACTATAGAACAGTATCGTTGATTTCACATGCAAGCAAGATTCTGCTGAAGATTATCCAAAAATGACTGGAACAGAACATCAACAGAGAACTGCCAGAAGTCCAGGCTGGGTTAGAAGGGGTTGTGGTACTAGGGATATTGTAGCTGATGTTAGATGGATCTTAGCTGAAAGCAGGGAATACCAGAAGAATGTCAATCTGTGTTTCAGTAATTATGCAAAAGCATTTGACTGTGTGGGTCATAACAAACTGTGGCTGACTCTGAGAAGAATGGGAATCCCAGAACACTTGATCATTCTAATGCAAAACCTATACTTGGACCAAGAGGCAGTCGTCAGAGCAGAGCAGGGGAACACTGCATGGTTCAAAATTGGGAAAGGTGTTACGCCAGGGAAGTGTCCTGTCTCCATACCTTTTTTCAACCTGTATGCAGAACAGATTATCCAAGAGGCGGGGCTCTATGAGGAGAAGTGTAGCATCAGGATTGGTGGAAGATCTATTAACAATATGCGTTATGGAGATGACACAATCCTGGTTTCTGAAACTGAAGAGGACCTGAAATGCTTGTTGCAGAGGGTCAAGGACTGCAGCCTTCAGTATGGATTGAGGCTCAATGTCAAGAAGACAAAGATTTTCACCACTGGACCAATTGGCAGCATCAGGGTAGACGGTGAAGAGATTGAGATTGTTCACAGCTTTAGTTTGCTTGGCTCCATGGTCAACACTTTTGGCACCAGTAGCCAGGAAATTAAAAGGCATACTGCCATGGGAAAGTCGGCTGTTAGGGACCTCTCCAGGGTGCTGAAGAGCAATTGTGTCACTCTGGAGACTAAGGTGCATCTGATACAGGCTATGGTCTTTGCAATGACTTGTTATGCATCAGAGAGTTGGACAATGACTAGAGAGGACAGAAGAATTGAGGCCTTTGAGCTGTGGTGCTGGAGTACTGAATGTACCCTGGACTGCCAAGAAAACAAACAGATTCACCCTGGAAAGAGTTAAACCAGGCTGCTCCTTAGAGGCAAGGATTCTGGGGCTTTGTCTGACATACTTTGTTGTAAGGAGGGACAGGTCCTTGAAAAGGGACATCATGCTTGGTAGGGTGGAGGGACGGCGAAAGAGGGGATGACCCTCTATGAGGTGGATTGATTCAGTGACTGGGGTAATCGGGATGGGTGTGTCAGAGGCAGTGCGACTGGCACAGGATAGAGCAGTGTTGTACACAGGGTCACTATGAGTCACAAGCGACTCAACGGTACATAACAACAGCTAGTTATCAAGCATTTAAACATTTGTGCCAACCAGGGAACTTTAGAGAAAGCTATATGCATTTATAAAAACTAATTGAGGAGAAAGACCTTAATTCTGAGCAAACAATCTTGGGAAAAAGTTCTGTTTCCAAAAGAGGAAGAATTATAATTTCTTTGGTTGCAGAAATTTATCAATTTGTTAATTTCTGTTTATTAAGATGATAAGAAACCTGGCTCTGAGACTAATGGGCACCTTACGACCCACCCACCAGAGTCATCTTTTTTGCCTTTTCCAATCTATCTCTTCTAACTCAAAGTAAACTTCCTAGGGATACTGTGAGCTCAATAATAAAATACCTGGTGTCAGGCCAGGAGAAGAAAACAGAATTACCGAGGAAAGGGATGTTCTGGGCCTCAATTCTGGCAAGTGAGAAATACTGTTGGAACCTGTGAGTCCCACCAGAGGTGAACCCATCCTGAAGGGCAACTTGGGAAACATCAGCACCTCAACTTCATGCCAGGACTGTGGCAGAGTCAGTGATAGCACATCTGTCACTGCCTTTTCCCCGGAGGAATTTTTGTGTGCTTGGCTCGCTCTGCTTTGAAGGAATTCGCATTAATAGGTAGGGACACATTTCAAAGCCCCAGAATAGAAAATTATTTTCTCAAAGAAAACAATCACTAGAATTCATACATTAATAGTTATAAGAAAAGCTAATAATAATTGAGTCAATTTATGACAGATCCATGAATATATTAACTCATCCGATCTTCTCAAAACCATTTTACTTCTCAAGATAAGCACATTTGATTAGACCAGTAACATGACACGGCTACTCTGTGTAGGCAGATTTCAGGGTTCAAGCTCTAAGTCACCCCCCAGCTCCTGTCCACTTCCATTCCTTCCTCTCAGCATTCTTTCTGCCTTCCTCTCTACATGTACTGAGTACCTAATGGATGTCACACATCACCAAAACCTTATCCTTCATCTCAAAACTGATTTCAGAATGAGGTTCAAATTATTTTCACAAATCATTAGCTACAGAATTTGTATTTTGTAACAAAATAAAAAACAAACAAAGGCAAGGGATATCAAAAGTATGACACACACTAAGACACTGAGTAACAGCAGTTGCTGGTGGAGAGGGTGCTGGCACAACTACCATTACATTTCTCTTAACCTTCCTCCCTGACAGTCATCAGATCACTACCATGAAGAGGTTCTTTTTTTAGATTTTCGTGGCTACACTAACTACACAAAAGCCTTGCTCTGCCTATGGTCATCAAAGGAGAATACCTAATGATTATTTTTCCCGTGTCGATGCTTTGCCAACCTTTCCCTAGAAACCAAATTAGTACTAAACACTGCAGGGCAGATCTCAATTGAATAATTTCTTTCCTCTTCCATTTTGGAAGGAAGGCAAGTCCCAGCCCTATCAAAGAAGAACTGGATGGGTGAAGCTCTGGAAGAACCACTTCTACCTGAAGTGGCATCAGGACACACCCCAAAAACCTGTTTTCATCAGTCTTCCATATTCATCATAAGTTGGTGGTCCTCGTACAGGTGTAATGTTGGGCATATAACTTACTGATAAGGAATATAACCTGGAAGCTACTCAATGGCAGTCGATTTGAGAAAAAAATCTGGATGTAATTTAATGTTAGACCTAAATGTATTATTGTGGTCTGCAGTTCTCTGCTATCGTCCAGAGACAGACAACTCTGATCCTTGCACACAGAATTGAGCTAGAATGGAAGTTATAACTGATCAGAGTATCAGGCATCATGTATATTCCCAGGATACCCTCAGGGTTCAGGACAGAGTCTCTTTAGAGACTATGCTGTTGCTGTTATGTGCTGTCGAATCGACTATGACTCATAGTCACCCTATGAACAATAGCTCTAAATCCTGCTCGATACTGAGCCTGTCTCACTGTCTGACATATCTACCCTCATTGCCCCAGTCACTGTGTCAATCCATCTTATCCAGGGTCTTCCTCTCCTGCATTGTCCCTCAACCCTTCCAAGCATGATACTGTTCTCCAAAGACTGGTCCCTCCTGGTTACATGCCCAAAGTATGTGAGGTAGGGTTTCAGAATCCTTGCCTCCAAGGACAGTTTGGTTTGACCCTCTCCAGGAAAGACTTGCTAGTTCTCTTGACAGTCCATCGTGTGTTCAATACTCTTCTCCAGAACCACAACTCAAAGGCATCAATTCTTCTTCTGTCATCCTTAGTCACTGTCCAGCTCTTTGATGCACAGCAAGTAATTGAAAAGACCGTGGCCTGGATTAGGTGCACTCCAGTCTCTAGACTGACAGCCTTGCTCTTCAGCATTGTGGAGAGAAGTCCCTGATAGTAGATTTTCCTAATACAATTCATAGTGATTTCCTGGCTGCTGGTACCAAGAGTGCTGATGGTGGAACCAAACAAGCTGGAATTGTTAATAATCTCAATCTCTTCTCCATCTATCATGATGTTGCCAATTGGCCCAGTGGTAAGAATCTTTGTTTTCTTGATGTTGAGCTTACATCTTTATCGTGAACTATAGTCCTTGACCTTCTGCAGCAAATGCTTCAGGTTCTCCTTAGCTTTAGCAAGTGATGTGATGTGATCTGTATAATGCAGATTGTTGATGAGT